ACGTGCCAAGACTGCAGTGTTAACATGATTATTATTTTATTTCTAATGACATCATAACTATATATTTGACACTAATTGAAATTGAATTATATGTTTAGACGACCAATACTGCTGGAATTTATTTACTTTTTATTTTTTTATTTATTTTTTGTTTGTAGGTGCGCGTGTAACGCTCGGAACAATATGGGATGAACTAAATTGTCGAATCGCGCGCAATCAATCATTCGATTGCACAAACCGGTTTTGCGGGCGTCGAGACACTCAACAACGCGTAACAATGTCACTCTTTACGAATATTACACATTAACACAATTACTACACACACACCTATACAAACAGTTTTATCTTTTTATTAGTATTCTTTTCATTAGTATTCTTAATAAACGTAGTCATATCATCCTTACCGATTTCCCGCCTTTTGTATTTATCTGTGCACTAATATTACTATTTATGTATGTTTATCTAGACAATTTTGTGCAGCTTTTTTATTTTTTATTTTATTTTACCAATGGTCCGTGACCCTCACTCGGCATGGGGCACACTGAAAACCAGCGCCGTGGCCTTCGTCACCGTGGGCCACGGCATATGCTGAGTGGGGTCCCGTTGCAGTGGGCATCTGGTTGGTGAATGGGTGGCACTGCTCAGTTTACTCTTGTTTTTATTTTTTTTTTCTTCTTTTATTATTATGTGCCACTGTCATGTCTATGTAATTGCCTGTATTTGTGTGATGTCCACTGTAATAAATGTATCTTTCTTTCTTTCTTTCTTTCTAATTACTTATTTACGTTTACGTAGTGAAGACGTTTGATATAAAATCACAATAAGCCCTCAGATGCACGATCCTCTCTCATTTATAGAGGCAAATATAGATTTACACCCCCAAGGGGGTTGGAGGCCTGATGTTCGCATATTTGTCCCTTAGTCGCCCCTTACGACATCCACGGAAAGAGTGCTGTCTTATTCTACTCTGATTATCTTACATTTAATAACAAACATCAAAATTCAATCAAACTTCATGCAAAAACACCGGTCGCAGTTATACACTCGCGAGCAAAAGTATGGAATCACTTACATGAAGTTGTTTCCACGCGATCTTGTGTACTAACGAATTTGTTAGGAACAAAAAAAGTGGTACCATTTTAAAGATTAAACTTTTATCTTTAAATTGATACCAAATTCATTTAAATCACACCAGTATTTAAAAAGATATCCCGGCTGATGTGAAGAAGTAACGAAAAAGACATGTATGAACTGTTTGATACGTCGCGAGTTGCGGCCTATTTACCCCCTATAAAAGCACGCGTTTTCGGATTTTTGCTTTCACACGTTGATTCATACACATCTCCGCTTCTTTTGACACTTTACCTGGGATTCTACACCTTCAGAAGCAGCACAAATCGTTGCACTATTGCTAGAAGGGCTCAGCCAGCGGGCTGTCGCACGTCAGCGCCACATAAGCCAGTCCTGGGTTTCGAAAGTTTTAAGACGCTTTCGGGAGACTGGTGGCTTTATCCCGAGACCAAGTTCTGAACAGCCCCGGCGCACATCGCAGAGGGAAGACCGTTTTTTCATGTCAACCTCTCTATGAAATCGTCATTTGACTGGAATCGACTGTTCAGAACTTGGTCTCGGGATAAAGCCACCAGTCTCCCGAAAGCGTCTTAAAACTTTCGAAACCCAGGACTGGCTTATGTGGCGCTGACGTGCGACAGCCCGCTGGCTGAGCCCTTCTAGCAATAGTGCAACGATTTGTGCTGCTTCTGAAGGTGTAGAATCCCAGGTAAAGTGTCAAAAGAAGCGGAGATGTGTATGAATCAACGTGTGAAAGCAAAAATCCGAAAACGCGTGCTTTTATAGGGGGTAAATAGGCCGCAACTCGCGACGTATCAAACAGTTCATACATGTCTTTTTCGTTACTTCTTCACATCAGCCGGGATATCTTTTTAAATACTGGTGTGATTTAAATGAATTTGGTATCAATTTAAAGATAAAAGTTTAATCTTTAAAATGGTGCCACTTTTTTTGTTACTAACAAATTCGTTAGTACACAAGTTCGCGTGGAAACAACTTCATGTAAGTGATTCCATAGTTTTGCTCGCGAGTGTAGTTAAAATAGTAAGACACGGGTCTTAACGCGACGTTTATTAATATGAGTAGTAAATATGAGGGTAGTTGAAAATTTTCAAGCCCGCCCGAACGGACGACGCCGCGAGCCGCCAGTCTACTTGTGACCACAAGTGTTACCACTTGCCACTTGTGTGCACCTATAATGACTTACTTGACTTATGGTCCACAACAGTCCTCCATCGCGTTCGGTCTTGAGCTAAGTGTTTGATCTCGCTCCAAGTCTTGCCGATCTTCTTCGCCTCGTCTGCCACAGTGCGCCGCCAAGTTTGCTTGGGGCGACCACGTTTGCGCTTTCCTTGGGGGTTCCAATCCAGAGCCTGCTTGGGGATGTGATCGGGATCCCTTCGGAGAGTGTGGCCAATCCAGTTCCACTTGCAGGCACTTGTCGCTGTACCCGCTCTTAGCTCTAGCTCTTGCACCTGTAATACAACATTTTATTTGTTGTGATACTGACAATAGAAATACAAACCGATCAAGCTAACAGCGCACCTCGCTGGATTGCGACTCTCCCTCGCACTCACCCGCACACCCCCCGTGATGTGACGTCACGACTACTAGATGCGCAGTTAACTCGATCGGATTGTACACAAGGTTAATGCCCGTAACACCTACAAACCAGCAGAAGTTTATTGCCATTGGTTTTTTTTACCAAACCAATACCCGTATTTCTACTTAATAATATTGGTTCAAATCTCCCACAATTCTGACATTGTCAAGTCTGTAAAACTGAAAGTAAGTACATACTATTCTACCTACTTAAATATTAATATAAGGCCTTTATACAGGGTGAAATTGAAATCGTTAGCATCCTTTTAAAATAAGACGTAGAGTCCTAGTACATTCTCCAAATATGACTATACCATACATTTTGTTGCAAAAGAACACCTCACGATATCGAAATAAAATGTCATAGTGGTAAGCTTGTTCTTCTGTACATTGGTCTCATATTTGGGGAATGTATCATGTATCATGAGTACAAACCGATCGAGCTAACTGCGCACCTAGCTGGAATGCGACTCTCTCGCACACCTTTTTTTTTTTTTTTTTTTTTGTTTATTTATTTATTTATTTATTTATTTATTTATTTTAGGGATGCCATGTTAGCCAAAACATTTTACCCATTTATTTTAAGAAAATCATAGATCGGCAGATGTTACTTGGAAATGTAGACAGAATTATTCCGTGCCATTTTAAAAGGATGAAAGGTGTATGCGTTGAGGTAGGCGCGAAATTTTCAATGTTCAAATTTTCTTACATTGTTTGCAAGTCAGTGTGTCAGGGTATGTACATAATGTGGATCAAAAATGATTCACGCAGTTACAAATTACGAATCTTGTGTACATTATAATCATAATCTTTTTTTTTTTTGTTTAATGGCAACCAAACCTCTCTGGGAGGTTTATTTCTGCCAATGTCGAGTGAAAATTGACATAGTTATCAATAGAACGTGGGTGTTTCAGTTCTATTGATGTTTCATGGATTCCGTGGAGTTAAGTATGCCCGAAAGCAGGTTTCAAGACGCCACCGGGTCCAAAGCGGGTTGTTCATACGACAACCCACTCGACACTCGATGCGCGCTCAAATTCGAAGTATTTCAATGTTTTTTATAATTTATCACTTCACTGCACTTTAGAACACAAAATAACACCAAATTTGTACACTAAAGTCCATTAAATAATAAATTGAAACCATTAAAACAGATCGACCATGCTTCCCGTTCAACTACCCTCCACGGAATCACCCGCACACCTCCCCGCGTTTGCCCCGTTTGTACCACATCGTCGATGTGACGTCACGGCTGCCAGGTGCGCAGTTAACTCGATCATGTTGTAGTCTTAGTTTAAAAGGATGCGGACTTTAATTTCACCCTGTATAATAATGATGAAGCAAAAGACCCATAATGTTACGCTTTTTATTAAATCGCTCCCGTTAAAATTGCTGATACTTGAAAACACTACTGTTTTATAACTGACCTTACACTATCAATAGACATCAACGATACTGAAACGTGAAGTGGCAAAAATGGGAACTAAATACCCAGTATTAATAAAGTCCGGTCGCCGAGCAGATATAATTTCGTCCAATCACCCCAAGCTACCCATCCTTATCGCTCGCGCGTAATTATATTAAAGACCGGACTTTAGTAGCGCCCTCCTTTCTATGTCGTATCTGGGACACATGAGTGTTGTCCGACTATATCAATAGATAATTTCATTCGTTAGTACTGAACTGACAGGTTATACTAAAAAAGGAATTATTCATACCGAAGGAAGGGATAATAACAGTAATATTAATTTTTATACCAGATATGACATTGACAGGAGGACGCTACTATAGACCCAATACACTGAACTGTCCCATCATTGACAGGGGGGTGCCGCCATCGTTTCCAATGTAGCAAAAATCGGAACCAGCGATCCGGCATTGATGGTGTCGCCGCCCCCCTGTTAAGGCTTCGGCAGACCAAACGCGGGGCAGTAGCAGTGCGGGGCTACTAATACTCGATTGTTAGTTCCGATTTTTGTCACGTTGGACAACACTGAAGTGTCACAATAATGACATTTACAAGAGGGCGCTGCTATCAATACTCGATTGTTAGTTCCAATTTCTGCCACTTGACGTTACAGAATCGTTGATATTAGGCTGGGTTGCACCATCTTATTTCAACTTCGACAAACGTCAAAAATCTGTCAAACTCCATACAAAAAACATAGGTCGTTAAAGTTACGGTCAAAGTTTGGTGGTGCAACTCAGCCCTAGTGTCTGGTCTGCTTATGTACCATCGGCAACAGTGTTTACTATCCATTGCCTGTCATGTCGTCTCGTTCTATCGCAAAGAATCACCATTTGATGAGAGCGAGAGCAAAAACGGAAATGGATAGTTAACAGTGTGGCCGTGTGTACTTTGTTATGTGCACATTATTAATTGTTCATATTCATTACAGTTAATGCAGCCGAAGCAACCACTGCAAGATTTGGTCAGACTCCAAAAGAGACTTCCAAAAGTTCCAACTCATCTCCCACGAAGTCTCCAGACGTGGTGACCCCACCAAGATCTGCATCATCAGCCACATCATCTAAAGGTAACTAAGCCTAAGATGTTTTTAACTAAAGCCCGGTCTGTGAGCACGTAGAATTTTGTCCAATGACCCCAAGCTACCCATCCTTATCGCTCGCGTCGCGCGTAATTATATTGCTGTCGCGACTGTGCGACGGGCGCCCGCAGTGAGTGTGTGAGCGCGACAGCAGGAGAGCTACCCTAATTTATTTATTTTTCAAAATTTATTCTACCACTTTGTCGGCGTGATTAATATAATACATATCTCTAGTGCCAATTAAAAGCAAAACCTCGGACGGACAGACGGACAGACAGACATGACGAAACTATAAGGGTTCCTTGTCAGGACTACGGAATCCTAAAAATACGCGTGTTGTGCGCTAAAGCCTGGTCCGTGAGCACGTAGAATTTTGTCCAATGACCCCAAGCTACCCATCCTTATCGCTCGCGCGTAATTATGTTGCTGTCGCGCTCGCACACTCACTGCGGGCGCCCGTCGCACAGTCGCGACAGCAATATAATTACGCGCGAGCGATAAGGATAGGTAGCTTGGGGTCATTGGACAAAATTCTACGTGCTCACGGACCAGGCTTTAGATGGTGACACATTAGGACCTTAGCTTCTTGTGGTATTATGTTATTTGTGCATACAGACAAGGTCTTTTTCGTAACATATTGTTATTGTTACAGCTACTACAACGGTATCAATCCCTATCACTACCAAGCAGACTCAAAAAGCAACTTCTAACACCAAGAATCAGAAGTCATCAACCAAGACCGCTCCTGCATCCGGCGCACCCTCAAAAGGTTACGGCTCGTTTCCAGGGCAATCCAGCTTATCCTGCATCCTGTATTACCGGGTCCCGCTAAACTGGACTGTCGTATGAAAACAATTGCGCACAAGCGCAGACTACAGAGGGCCTAGTGTGAGTTTACATCAAACGTCCTCACTAGTAAGCGCGTTAAAAAAATATTTGTCAATTTTAGTTCTTGAAGTTTCCGCTAGGGGCGCTGTACAATCCGTCATACATTTAATGTATTTTTTTTACGCGCTCACCATGTAAAGTCACACTACGCCCTCCGTTCGAATTCGAAATTCTAATTTAAAACACATTACACACATTAAGACCACCGACTTTTAGTCGGCCGATAAGTAGTTATAGACTAAGAGCTAGTGAACGCCAGACCTACGTCATTGTATAAAAGCTGAAAGTTTGTCAGCGTATGCTCCCAACACAGATATGGATTAGAGTAGATACAGCAAGTTGCTCGTCAAAGCGTGCCATTCCGATATGTCCAAATGGACATACATGGTCGAGTGATGTTCACGTTGTTAATTGTAATCCGATTACAACAATCGGTTACGATGATTTTACGAGGACAGTAGTACGAACACGGTAGAAAGAAGAAATTATTAACGGATTGAGAATTGTAATTAACAGCACAAGTAACAAATAATATAATTAGAATAAAGTAGCAGTAGAAGAAGTATAAAGTAGCATTGTTTTAATTGAAATAAAAAATATCGGAAATAGTTATCAGAGAAATAATGATAAAATCACAAAATTTTAACACCAATCCTTCACTAACCAAATGTCACATTATCAATAAGGTTTTGAATTATTTTATTAATAGCAATATTTTTAATTCCTTTAAAAACATAAGTTTGATCAACCGCCCACAGAAAATCATTTAAATTAAGTCGTTTAGAAATATCTTCAAAACTAGGTACCTGACTTAGCTTTATGAAACTAAACGTATTGGCAAAACTACGCATTTTTACATTTATTAAAAATAAAAAGTTTGAGTTAGTCCTTATTTTATGAAACTAGGTCAGGTACTAGGATATTTTTAAAAGTATGAAATTAAGTATGAATTACTAGTACTATTTAACATAATGGAATAACGATCACTACTTTGATATACGCACAATAAAAATATGATTTGCAAATTAATAAGAAAATTTATAATATAGAATTTATTTTAATCCACAGTTAGACTAGCTATAAATAACAAAATATCAGTTTTATCGGAATTAACGAATCGAGTCACACAATATATTTCGATGACTTTGCGAATGCAGTACGATGATACGATTATTTTTACATTGCGGCAATCACTAAAATTCGCTAAAATGACACTAATGACGTTTAAAAAGTGGCACGCTCGGCTTCATACAATTTTTGACACATGCTGCATCTATCCATATCTGTGGCTCCCAATATAGGATAGAATGTTGGTGAATCATGAAGTTTGGGTCATCGGGCTTTGACCGTAACTATGGCGATAACCGGTGCTTTTTGTATGGAGCTTGCCAGATTTTTGACGTTTGTTAAAGTTAAAGTGAGATGGTGCAACTCAGCTTTAGTCCATTAGTTTTAACAACGTCTACAAAATTCACACTAAGCCCTCGGATCGGTTTTTGTGGGACACTGCAAACGGGATTGTAACGGGATGTTCGTGTAAATGTTACGGTTAATGTGATAAATTGAAAATTATGAATAATAACCGGTTATTATGAATAATTACCGACAGTTGCGGTAAAAGTGATAAATTTATAACATTTATCAGTGATTATTTAATAATTCAACCTTAGTACTAACAAATATCATTAAAGAGAACAACATCTTGTGTACGTGCTCTTGTACAGCCAAAATTTTTGAACGTTTTGATATCATAAATATTAATATAATTTGGCATAATGAGTTTGGAATGTTTCTTGCATAATACTTATTACTTTTCCATGATGCCCATAACATAATGTTTTGATTTAAATTAAAAAATAGATTAAGGTGCGGCGGGGGTGGCCCTTGGGCCACCCCTAAGCCGCCTATTTAGTTTTATACACACATACTTAAATGACCTCATATTAATCATTTACCAAATCATGAGGTAATTATTCATAATAACCGGCGATTATTCATAATTTTCACATTTATCACATTGACCGTAACATAAACATTAGTATTAAAACACTTAAACTACTAAACGGAAACCTGCATAAAATAGTTCGTGCAAAAGAGAGAGAGAGAACAGATAACGAATTCGTTCGTAACCATAGAGATATAGAGAGATGCCAACTAATGCGCTGAGTTCGAAACTCAGTGTCGCATTACAAATTCACACACACAAAGAAATCAAAATATGTGCTCATTATCCACTGCGCGGCTGCGGTATCAGTACTCAACGTTCGAATAATCTTTAGTACTACGCAAGCAATGTAAACTGTTTACATTATGACGTCGCTGCTGTCATCATTGCTTTCACGAGCAATGTGTTCTTTATTGCTGCTACACCGGCCCCGCCCCCTTGGCACATCTCCTTTAGTTTCTGTGATCTGTGTTCGTAACGTATTGTTTTTGTTACAGCTACTACAACCGTAACAATCCCTAGCAGTACCAAGCAAACTCCAAAAGCACCTGTTACGAAGTCATCAATCGTGACCACTCCTACATCAGTCGCATCCTTAGAAGGTAACTCCTATCTTCTTAAATATAATAAAAGGAGAAACTGACTGACTGACATATCAACGCACAGCCTAAACGGCTAAACGTAGGCACTTGAAATTTGGAAGGGACATAGCTTAGGTACCGTAGAGGTGCACTAAGAAAAGAATTCCCGAAATTCCCACGGGAACGGGAATTAGCGGGAAAATCCTTTTGTATGAAAAATCTAAACCGCTTAAGTTAGACGCTTGAACTTTGGCATGCAGGTACCTTAGTAAACTTAAAGCTTAGTTACAACAGGATATTGCAAAATTCCCACGGCAACGGGAGTTATCTGGAAAAAACATTTGTTTGAAAAAATCTAAACCGCGTAAGAAAGATGAAGGGGGGTAAAACGGGATCTACGCGTACGAAGTCGCGGGCGGCCGCTAGTTTATGTATATGGCTCAGTTGCACTATGCGGGTAATTGACCGAGACGAAGCGCGAAGTATGGGCGACGCATGGCGAAACGAACAGAAGTGCATGTTTACACACATACATGTCTTGTAATGCCACATAGAGGGAAAGTACTCTTAATGCTGTAGATAGAAAATTTTACTCAAAGAAAACATTACTTTATTTTTGACTAGCGGCCGCCCGCAACTTCGTACGCGTGGATCCCGTTTTACCCCCTTCATCTATCTTACGCGGTTTAGATTTTTTCATACAAATGTTTTTTTCCGCTAACTCCCGTTCCCGTGGGAATTTTTCAATATCCTGTTGTAACTAAGCTTTAAGTTTACTAAGGTACCTGCATGCCAAATTTCAAGCATCTAACTTAAGCTGTTTAGATTTTTCATACAAAATGATTTTCGCGCTAATTCCCGTTCCCGTGGGAATTTCGGGAATTACTTGTTGTAACTAAGCTTTAAGTTTACTAAGGTACCTTCATGCCAAATTTCAAGCGTCTAACTTAAGCGGTTTAGATTTTTCATACAAAAGGAGTTTCCCGCTAATCCTGTTCCCGTGGGAATTCCGAAGTATACTATAACCTGCCCAGGAGTATGAAGAATAATTGTACCAAGTTTCGTTAAAATCCGTCGAGTAGTTTTTGTTTCTATAAGGAACATACAGACGGACAGACAGACAGACAGACAAAAATTTTACTGATTGCATTTTTGGCATCAGTATCGATCACAAATCACCCCCTGATAGTTATTTAGAATATATATTTCATGTACAGAATTGACCTCTCTACAGATTTATTATAAGTAGGTACAATATCGAAAACAAAGAGAACTGCATTCAAAGATTTTTTTTCGTAAATTCTCTACCACCATACAGTTTTCAGTACCTCTTGCATAAACAACTTTCGTCTTCGAATCGTTTGCGTATTCGACAAAATTCGATACTCAACCTTCGAATTAAACGTTAACGTGACAATTTTGATTCTCAAAATAAGTTTCGTGCAACCATTTCTCATACTAAGTTCGCTTTACGACACGTTCACAAGGGCGCTGTTGTAGTTTTTGTACTAAATCTTTTTATGGCGATTCGAATACGCAAACGATTCGAACTCGAAAGTTTTTCGTGCTAGTCGTACTGTAAATACCTAATTAAAATAATCTAAGATTATTTTTATTTGTATATCCACTGTGGTCGTTTCACATCAACAATTTTAACAGGAAGGTCGGTATTACTAGATAATTATATCCATCGATTTTCCTTTTTAAATTCAGGAGGTAAATTATTGAGTTTTAACCACAACAATGTGTTATATATTGTTGTAACCACGCTTTCTGTGTTTTTTCGGATAAACTCTTTCTTTTGTCGACGTCGTAGATTATAGCAGCGTGTCGAAGAAATAAGATGTTTGTAAAATAGACATTACGACCAAAAAAAGTCGTTCGTTCGTTCGTTTCAGCCAAATGACGTCCACTGCTGGACAAAGGCCTCCAGCAAGGTTTTCCACAGTGCACGGTCCTGCGCTGCCCGCATCCAGACTCTTCCTGCGACCTTTACCAGATCGTCGGTCCACCTAGTAGGAGGCCTGCCCACGCAAAAAAAGTCATTTACCTACAATGCTAAGTAGATGCCTTTTTATCCACAACGACGAAGCTTTTTGCCTGTATCTCACCTGACGGTAAGTGATGATCAGGCCGAAGGTGGACGCGAGCTTCACCCGGAATCCTCAACCACGGAGGAACTGGCTATCCTGCCTCTAACTGCCAAACACAACAATGCTGTTAACATTGTTGTTATGGCGACAGACTTAGGTAAGATGGTGGTAGCTAGCCAGGCGGACTTAGAACAAGCCCTACCAGCAACCAAACCGAACAGAAAAGTCTGCCCCCACTGGGAATCGAACCCGGGACCTCTGCGTCTGAAGTAGGTGGTCTTACCACTAGACCACAGAGGTTTATTTATGTCCTAATGCATTGCATATTATGGTCGCCCCATCGACACTATGCGTCAGAACAACATTTATTTCCTTACACGACCCAAAAGCTGTATGTTATAGTATCACATAGAATTATTATTGTGAGCTCATTATTAACATGAAGTGTCTCATATTTTTTAGTGTTTGTGCAAATTTTTTCGTATTCACAAAGCAAAGTAAGTTTTACAAGCGTAATTAGGAAGCCATTTATGTAGGTTTGATTTGAATAATAGGAAGTTTTTATTGTGTTCATACAGATTATTAATAAAGCCTAGATATTTATCTATGCTAGCTAGCTTATTTAAGCAAGCGCAAGAAAAGTGAGGGACTTGAAACGTCATATTACGTAGGGCGCTATTTTAGTTGTGAGCCTTGACAACACACGTGTTGTTAGACGATATCTGATACTTTTAATTTTTAATGTTTTAAGTTTTTCATTTTTACTATAACCTTATTACTCAAAACTTTTTATCATTTGAGCACATTTTTATTATTAATATTGACTTGATTGGCCACACAAACGTGGAATTGACTTGCGGAAATTTTCGCGCGAAGATTTTATTATGACTTTCGACGTGGATAATCAATACAAAACTGAAGCGGACAGCTTAATTTCACTTTTAGTAATAAAGATCTATCCTTTAACATTGTAAAACGCTAGTTTAATAAATATAAACAATAGACAGTTTGACACCATACCTCAATAATTGGAAACCACAACTTTTAAAAAAAGACCCTTCATTCTGGTCTTTAAAACTTAATTAATGTTAAATTACCTGTAAATTACGATTTTTTTTCGCATTGTAATTGAAAAAAGTAGTTTGATTGAGTTGACAAAATAGTGACGTCACTTGCTTGTAGTGCCATACAAAATCTATGGGAGAGTTTCGTTTTGACAGTTTTAAAAAGTACGTCAATTGATTGGTGGTGTCAACATGTCTATTGGATCTGTCAACAGCACTGGACCAGGGGTAATTACTGTTTGTACTCCGAATGACTGTCGTGAGTGTCGTGACTACACCGATCAAAATGGCGCGCAACTTTAGGGCCCTGTAATTTTTGTATTTGTAGAGATATTTATATTGTATGTTCTTCTGATTAACTTCGTTGCGGGTCCAATGACAGTTTAACAAAGGTCGTCGCACATTTATAAACCCGGGAAGAGATCGTACTTAACCGTATCAGTCCAGTTTTGGATCCAGCTTTACTGGATCCCTCAAAACTGGATTGTCGTGGGAAAGGGCTCTAATTGTTAGAGAGGAGGAGAGAGTAGCTAGAAAAATGAAGTAAAATGATTATTTTTGATTTCAGGTGTATCTACAACAATATTGAACATTAAAAAAGATGGCTATGAAGCGTCTGGTTTCACAAATGGCGAAACACTGTACTTTAGTTGCTACGACACAAACATTGATGGAGAAAAATGTATTATTAAACTTATCACTGCTGGTATGTGATTGGAACTTCTACTATGTTCTTCTGATTAATTTCGTTGTGGGTCCAATGACAGTGTAACTTTCCCCCGGGACGAACTTGTCCTTCACTGGTTGGGTTATTGGCGGTCAAGCTGTAGATCCTGGCTACACAGGAGTTGCAGCGGTGGGAACGAGAGGTGGGAATAGTCCCGTGGTATGTTGTTGGGTATCGTTTTAAGTTTAGGTACTAATACACTACCTTTACTAATATCTAATAAGTTTTACTAATTCAATTCAATTTATTTATTTTAAGACAACAATGATCCACATGGTTAGTAAATGTATGCCTTTTAGGCCAGTAGAATAAAACACGAAAAAATATGAAATCGAAAATAATTCCTAGGTTTTTTTGTTTTAATGGCTTCATTCATTTGTTGCCCATTAAGACTATCCTAGGTTTTCGACTTCGGCGAGGTGGGGGCCCCCGAAAGGGGAATTTTTCTTATACAGGGTGGAATTTTGTAATGCCACCTGGAGGGAAAGTACTCTTAATATTGTAGATCGAAAAATTTTCTCAAAGAAAACATTCCTTTATTTTTGAAAAGAAATAGAACTGCATTCAATGATTTCTAAAAATTAGCTTGCCATACCCGGGAATCGAACCAACTAAAATCTGTTAAAAATTACACCCTGTATTTTTATTGCATCGATCGTTAGGGTCAAGTATAAGGATGAAATCTCTCTAACAAACTTGATAAATCAAATGAAAGGAAATCCATAAAATCTTACATTATTTTAAGTATGTACAGAAAATTGTATGGTATGGTAGTAAATTTTCGAAATTTTTTCGAATATCTATGAATGCAGTTCTCTTTCTTTTCAAAAATAAAGGAATGTTTTCTTTCAGCAAAATTTTCTATCTGTCTGTAGTATTAAGGGTACTTTCCCTCCAAGGTGGCATTACAAAATTCCACCCTGTATATATCCGTAACCGTATCCATAACCGAAACTACATATCCATAACATCCCTAGTCTAGTGGTAGAATCCGATCGAGTTAACTGCGCACCTCACTAGAATGCAACTCTCCCTCGCACTCACGCTCGATGTGACGTCACAGCTGCCAGGTGCGCAATTAACTCGATCAATTTGACTTTACCTGTAAATGTGTACATAGTGAATAAATAAAATAAAACCTTAGGACAAGAAGTTGAAGTACCGGTGAAACAAAATGGAAAATCCAACAACCGAAATCTTTATTCTGGATGTTTAGAAATGAACTTTACGAGCACAGATGTAGAAGTTAAATGCCTAATATTTAGAAAAGACAATGACGAAAAACCCAGTACGATTAAGCTTCTGAGATTGACAAGGAAGAACCCTGGTAAGTTAAACGAAAAACTTTTAAGCTCATAGAAGACTTACGCCCGTATTGACAAACATTACTATGAAGTCTCACAGTGCACGAAGACTCACAACGCAGGGTCACACACGAACCAATTACGTTGCATACATATACCTACGTACCGTAGCACTTTGCAAACGTGTGACTGCGGTTTTCCAAACATGAAAATTACTATGCAACTACATTAGCAACAGTGGCGGTAGTCCAGTCATTACGTACATTCAAAAAAGAAAATGAATTTGCGCTTCTAATTTTTTAATATGTTGTAGGGGATACCTAGAAAAGCTTAACTTGAGATTGTCGACCAAACTTTCCTAGGAGCTTTCGCCGCCATGTTGAAAAAAGGGGTAAAATTTGTTTTTCGGCAATAACTCGGCTATCCGATGAGACTCGAAAATTTTTGTAGGACACTTTTTGTAGCTTTCTTTGTGCTCTACAATAACGCCCGAACCATTTTTAGCGTATCATGCATCGTTATCGAGATATCGATTGATAAAGTCAAAAATTTTGGACACAAATTATTTCGGAATAATTAAATAATTAACGTCAGATACGTACAACATAACTTCTAAGGAAAGGTTGCAATCATATTCGACGGTTATCCGACTGATATGACACTCGCTGGAACGAAAACTTCGGAAAGAGTACGACGTTCGAGAAAAAACCAATCGCCGGAGTTCACATTCGATGAGACAACTACTCCAAAAGTTAGCCAGGAGAAGTTTCTCACAAGGGATCAAAACAAGAACCAACTAATACAAATGCTTTGCCGTTACTTAAAAAAAAGTAATTAAAAAGTAATTAAAAGTAATTAAATTTTACTTTTTACTTTTTAATTAATTATTTAATTATTTCGGAATTTTTCATATTTATTAAGACCCAAAGAAAAAAAAAGAAAAAAACAAAAATTGTGTCCAAAATTTTTGACTTTATCGATCGATATCTCGATAACGATGCATGATACGCTAAAAATGGTTCGGGCGTTATTGTAGAGCACAAAGAAAGCTACAAAAAGTGTCTGTCTGTCTGTCTGTCTGTCTGTCTGTCTGTCTGTCTGTCTGTCTGTCTGTCTGTATGTTCCTTATAGAAACAAAAACTACTTGACGGATTTGAACGAAACTTGGTACAATTATTCTTCATACTCCTGGGCAGGTTATAGGATACTTAGGAATTCCCACGGGAACGGGAATAAGCGGGAAAATCCTTTTATATGAAAAATCTAAACCGCTTAAGTTAGACACTTGAAATTTGGCGTCCAGGTACCTTAGTAAATTTAAAGCTTAGTTACAACAGGATATTGCAAAATTCCCACGGGAACGGGAGTTAGCGGGGGAAAAAAACATGAAGGGGGCAAAACGGGATCCACGCGTACGTAGTCGCGGGCGGCCGCTAGTTTATTAATAAAATATTGAAGGCGGGCCCAGTCACTGGAGAAAAACTATTTAGAAATTCAAACCACTGGAAGAAGTCACTGGTCTATGCAAAATCCCCACAGCACCAACGCGTTGCAACGCACGAAACACACATCTTAACTTGCATTTCGATATTACAAAAACACAAAACACCTAATAACACAAAACAACAACACAAAACACTTAGAAAACACTCAAACACCTACACCGCCACAGAAAATTAACATGTGCCTCAAAAACACACTATCCTCCCAACCCAACCGACCAGTTTCAGGGCCAATCTGAAAATCAGCGCTGAGCTTGTAGCTCAGCATTATGCTGAGACTGGTACCTTTTGCTTACCTATAAAAGTGTAACATCATAATCAAATTTTTGTTTATAACTTTTTCTTTTTTTTCTTTCTTTATTTCTGTGTACCCATTCACATGTAAGTAATTTATTTTTTAGTGTAGCAATAAAAAAAATTCATTTTCATTTTCAAACCAGCTACTTGGCCCGTGGACCAAGTTAAAAGTGGGTCAAGTCATTGGAAGACTTGATGTGTCACCTCATGACAAAATTCGTCAGACAAAAGAAATCCACGTTTACTTTACAGAAAAATATAATTCAAATTCAAATCATATACTTACTAGCTTTCCGCCCGCGGCTTCGCCTGCGTAGAATTTTGTCTGTCACAGAAAAACTTTATCGCACGCGTCCCTGTTTCAAAAACCGGGATAAAAATTATCTTATTTCCTTTCCCGGGACTCAAACTATCTCTATGTCAAATTTCATAAAAATCGGTTCAGTGGTTTAGGCGTGAAAGAGAGACAGACAGACAGACAGAGTTACTTTCGCATTTATAATATTAGTATAGAAGTATAGATTTTGCGAAAATGGGTTTACATCAGTAGGTGTTAGGCACTGTTAGGTTACAATATTACGATTATTTTAGTTGCGACAGCGGTTCAACATTACCTACATTTATTATTTATTTATTTATCAATATTTCTTTGTTTTCAGACTTTGAACCCGAGGGAAATCCTGATCTAAGCAATACAATTTTAGGTACCTACCCTACATACTCGTATTTTTGAAGAAATAAGGCTGCTTTTTAATATCTACAATGATTGTTTTATTCATATAATAATTTCTGCTCGATTAACCAGTAAAATTGCGTTTGTAATAGAAAGTCTCACTTATCGTTTAATATTTTATATTGTTTTAAATTTTCATGATCACTAACATAATTATTATTACTGACGGGATTGCTACCATGTACCTTAAGTTTGAATTTCCGATATTTCTGCACTGTTCCAAGCTTGCGGGTGAGATGAGATGTTATGGGCAAACATATCGGTCTACCTTGCTTGGAACAGTGCAGAAATATCGGAAACTCAAAATTAAAGCACATGGTAGCAATCCCGTCAATAATAATAATTAAATTAGATAAATATACTAGATGACGCAGGGTATAGTCTGGTCTGTGAGCACGTAGAATTTTGTCCAATGACCCCAAGCTACCCATCCTTATCGCTCGCGCGTAATTAGGTTGCTGTCGCGCTCGCACACTCACTGCGGACGGCCGTCGCACAGTCGCAACAGCAATATAATTACCTACGCGCGAGCGATAAAGATGGGTAGCTTGGGGTCATTGGACAAAATTCTACGTGCTCACGGACCGGGCTTTGAAAGAGCTAAGTTACAACCCAATCGAGCTGCGCACCTGGCTGGAATGCGACTCGCCCTCACATTCACCCGCACATCTCCCCGCGTTCGTACCAGACCGTCGATGTGACGTCACGGCCGCCTGGTGCGCAGTTAACTCGACCGGGTTGTAGTTTAGTTTCGCTCATATACCTGACGCAGTTTCCCACAGTGTTTGTATAGTTTGTATTTTGCACATAACTAGGTATTTAGTTATTAAGATGACAGGACACGCCTAACGTTATTAAAAATAAAACTTTTGCCTCATCCAAAGTAAACTACTTACATCTAGTCTTATAAGCCCAAAAGCCCAAAGTTGTCAATAGCCTTCATTAATCTTCCTGTGTGCGTGTTTGGGCACTCAGGGCACGATATCATGTACTTCGTCGACAGGGACACAAAACCACACTTGCACTCCNCTCTTAGAGAGGCTTTTCCCAGCATTCCCAGGCATAGGGACAAAAGCACAGGGAAGATCAACTCTCTCACTCCATAACGTGCATCTCTCTTTGGAGTTTTGGGCTGACACTGTGTAGGTTTGATGTCGATACTACAAGAAGAAGATCTAATCTTGTTTTCGTTGCAAAATAGCATTGATTTGAACTACTTATTTTGGAAGATTTTGCAGAAAAAATTAAACATGGCATCGCATTTAACTACATCATGAAGGTCACAGCACACTTAGCAAACTTAGTGGATCGTAACTGTATCAACTCGAGGCAGTCATTATTTTTTGTATGAAACTCCTTACTGCAACGTAAACGACAGCCCACGAAACGCGATACGGTGTTGATCCCTTTCCGTTTTGATATGTGTGCTTCGTCCTTACATCAGCAACAACATTTAACAACATTATTGGTAATCCATAAATATTTTTTTTAGCTTTTCTAAAAGCGGAATGGATGTGGGTGGCTCTAGGTGGTGGAGTTTTAATGTTACTCATTGTGATCACAGCTACAGTGAGAGCTTTCAGGAAAGGCAAACGTGAAGAGGCAATGGTAAATATACAATATTGTTTTAATACTAACAAAACCCACATATTTATTAATGGAAATGAGATTAAAATTTGGTGTTTTAGAAAAAGCTTTATAATTATCCGTAACATTTACAACCTTAAGCCTTCTTCTATAAATGAGCTATCCAACATAAAAATATTTTTCAAGTCGGACCAGTAGGTCCTTAAATTAGCGCGTTCAACCAATCAAACTCTTCAGCTTTATAAGTGAAAAAAGTATAGATTTTACTTACTGTTCTTGTAATTACATTTTCAGGTGCAACGAGCCAGTGTGAACTACGAGAGCTTCACAAATGAGCCACAGGAGCCAACGCCTCCGTTCCCACAAGGACCTAAACTGGAGCAGACTTACCTCGCCCCCATAGACTTACAGGAATCCCCGTACGCTACGTCCCGTCCAGAGAACGACACTTACGCTCTTCCCTACACTCCCAGCAACGTTGAAGAACTCTATTCAAAACCAGTACCAAAACGTTCAAGAATAAATGAACTATACACCAAAGTGCTCCCGAAGAGCCTTAGAAAACAGCAGGAATCATCCAAATATGTAAACTCTGCCGAGCTGACCTATGCTGAAATTAGTCACACAGGCCCTTCTAAAAAACCCGTGGCTCATAAACAAATCCAAAAGGAAGATAACTATGCCGCAGTTGTACATAACAACTATGTTAATGTGAATAAAGATACAAAATACGGGAAAGCAAGAAATGATGGGTATTCTGAAGTAGTTCCAAATACAACTTATGCAAATGTCACAAACGATGTGTACGTGGAACCTAGTTATTGTGAGTTAGGACGACACAAATAAATTATTTCAATACCTTAGTATAAAGGAAACACATTTATCAAGCCGGAAGCGGTTCGTAACCGTTTAAACTCGAAGCGGTCAGTATTCTTTGTATGAAACTCCGTACTGCAACGCTCACTTATCCGCACCGTAATGTACCTAAACGCCTCGCCTCGCGTTGATAAGTGTTCTATGACCTTACAGGATGAAAATGAAGTCATTGGCATCCTTTTAGAATAAAACTACTCATATCATAAGTCCTTTTCAGTCAAATGAGTTTTTTTGCCTTTATTTTTACTATTTATTTATACGTATTAGTGTGCTCTTAAAGAGTTTAAAAATATTCTACAGTCAACAGCCAAACCTACTAGTATCACTATTTAACCCGGAATAGCACGGTCATAGCACACTTACAAACCTGGAAAGGGATCAACACCGTATCGTCTTTCGCCGCAAGGTGAGGCGTTTACATTACGGTGCGGATAAGTGTGCGCTACAGTTGGTACACGACGTACGGACTATGGAGTCTTATACAAAGAATACTGACCGTCTAAAGTCGATACGGTTACGATCCGCTTCCGGCTTGATTGGTGTGCTTCATCCTTTAGATCAGGGATGTTATGGATATCCGTAACCGTAACCGAAACTTTCGAATATCCGTAACCGTAACCGAAACTTTCGGATATCCGTAACTATAACCTAAACTTTCGGATATCCGAAATAAAAAAATACCCGAAACCGTAACCGATTCAAAAGTTTCGGATAGTTTCGGATGTAGGCAGTTTAAATTGTTTTGTGTATGTATAGCATTATATAATGTAAAGGCATAACAGCCTGATTTACCTTCATAATGCCATCTAGTATCATTTTTGATTAATTTTTTACTTTTTATTCGATGTAGTGTGTGGATGGCCACATTCATGGGAATGAACCGTGTTAGACAACTATTGCAAATTACATTCTAAAGCACAGATATCCGTAACCGTAAGCGAAACTTTCGGATATCCGAAATAAAAAATATCCGTAACCGTAACCGAAACCGGTATAATATTATTCCTATATCCGTAACCGTGTCCATAACCGAAACTAATATCCGTAACATCCCTATTTAGATGTTGCAATAATTTTCTGAATAAAAAGACTGCGTGCTGACAACGTGGGGAGTGTAGACCAAATCCTCCATTTTCGTTGGTAGGTTAAAGAGGGTTGTGCTTCTGTGGTGGAGATCAAATGATGATGATGATGAAGTAATTTACCTGCCTGCTGCCGGCCAAAAACTAAGGCTTGTTTTCCTCTTATGCTGTACGGCTAGCACGAAAACCTTTCGAGTTCGAATCGTTTGCGTATTCCAATCGCCATCAAAAGATTTAGTACGAAAACTACAACAGCGCCCTTGTGAACGTACCTACCGTAAAGTGAACTTAGTATGAGAAATGGTTGCATGAAACTTATTTTGAGAATCAAAATTGTCACGTTAACGTTTAATTCGAAGGTTGGGTATCTAATTTTGTCGAATACGCAAACGATTCGAAGACGAAAGTTGTTCATGCTAGAGGTACTGAAGTCGGTGACCGACGTCACGTCGTCGACGTCATAGGTCAAGGTTATAGTACCATATTGAAGACCACAAGGGAAAAACAAAGAATGTCAAAAAACTACAATTAAGAGAAAAACAGTTTTTAAAGGTAGTTTGAAAATCTATATTTCTTTCATTTTAGACTCTTTTATGTGAGATATTGAAACAACTTATTACTGTGTTAACATAATGCTTTGCCTGTACTTCTAAAACTCGATTTGTTTAAATAAGTTTTAAGTTATTATGGTCCATAATACAGTGTGAGTCACGTTAAAGTGTACATATGAAAATAGATGAAACTAGACCTATTTTTATCGACAAAAAAGAGGTCAAAAAATTTTTGAGATTTTTTTTTAATTTTTTATAGAATTTTTTTTCTTCCAATTACTTATTGTAAAGAAAACGTAATAACTTTTAAACTAAGCGGTATATCCTGATAAAATAAAAACAGTAACAATGCTAAATAACAGGCAATACTAAAAAAATACATAAAATACACAAAAAAGGCCAACAAATAATAAAAAATGATACTTTTTGAAAAAAAATCTGCTTAAAAATTCGTGTTTTTTTGGTTATTTGATAAATTTCTCCAAAAAATGCCCCTATAACAGGTGGTTTTTATTACTTTGTATTATTCTCTATCGTATTATCTTTGTAAAACCAAAAATCGCATGTCTCTATCCCTATTACAACATTTGCTATGATCGTTTGAACAAAGGCCTGCCACAACATTTTTCTCCACTACAGTTAGAGACAATTTTAATTTTANCGAAGCGTTGAATGACGCGCCCGGAGAGGCTTAGTTCAAACGATCATTGCAAACGTTGTGATAGGGATAGAGACATGCGATTTTTGGTTTTACGAAGGTAATACGATAGAGAATAATACACAATAATAAAAACCACCGGTTATAGGGGCATTTTTTGGAGAAATTTATCAAATAACCAAAAAAACACGAATTTTTAAGCAGATTTTTTTCAAAAAGTATCATTTTTTATTACTTGTTGGCATTTTTTGTGCATTGTATGTATTTTTTTAGTATTGCCTGTTATTTAGCATTATTACAGTTTTTATTTTATCAGGATATACCGCTTAGTTTAAAAGTTATTACGTTTTCTTTACAATAAGTAATTGAAAGAAAAAAAATTCTATAAAAAATTAAAAAAAAAATCTCAAAAAATTTTTGACCTCTTTTTTGTCGATAAAAATAGGTCTAGTTTCATCTATTTTCATATGTACACTTTAACGTGACTCACACTGTATAACCGTTTCTTGCCATGGACAAACAAACACAAATTGAACTATGTATTACAGTTGACCACGACGATTTTACCCAATTCTAATTTTTGAAATAGAATGTTTCCCTAAAAGCTAACAGATGGCATTAAAAAGTAAGTTTCACAAAAAATGTGATATTCATTGTTTTTCCCGTGTGGTCTTCAATATAGACCACATCCATACACTGCGGCAGGTTAAACAATAGGCTGAGTGTGTGTGAGTTTACATCAAACGTTCTCACCTAGTGAGCGCGTTGAAAAATGTATGAAAATTTAGTTCTTGAACATTTCCGCTAGGGGCGCTGTACAATCCGTCATACATTTAATGTATTTTTTTTACGATTGATATAAACTCACACTAGGCCCTCAGAGGACCTAGGAGTATAACTTGCCACTATGCTTGACGCTAGTGGACTATGAGAAGGCCTTTTCGATCAAGACTTGGGCAGTGCAGTACCTCTAGTACGAAAAACTTTCGAGTTCGTTTCGTTTGCGTATTCAAAGTGTCATCGAAAAATTTTGTATGAAAAATTAAACAGCGCCCCCTATATTATAGCCGCCCTAGGGGGCGCTGTTTAATTTTTCATACAAAATTTTTCGATGACACTTTGAATACGCAAACGAAACGAACTCGAAAGTTTTTCGTACTAGAGGTACTGCAGTCTCTCACGACGTCAGCCTAAGAGGAAATCAAGCCTAAATAAACCAAAGACTTAGTTTTTAAATATAAATATAATTTTATTTATTATTTTTAATATTGTAGCCATTGACCTCATGGGGAATATGCGTGTTTTCTTAATTTTTCACATTCATCCAGTTTTACAATTATTTTCACTTTTTTGTATGATTTTTACTTTACTATGGTGTTGCTGATGATGCATAATATTTTTGAACAAAAATACTTTTGTTTTGTATGTGTTTTTAGATTAAGATGCTTCATTTTGTATTTAGCAAATTTATAAAATAATCTGAAATTATTTTTGGACATCTTTTCCGTTATGTACCTTATTTAGAATTTAATTAGTATAGGTTTGTCTAATTGTGTAAGCAATAAATAAATATTAATTTCTCTTTATTTATTTACAACATAATGTATGTAATAATTATGTTTAAATTCCCTTTATTTATGTATTTACGATGTCTATAATTTTTTTTACCTTATTCACAAAATCTTGTTATAGTGCCATCTGTAACTTTTTCTATGCATTAAAATCATGTACTGCGCCACCTAGTAGACTCATGTAACACCACTCGGTTGCTTGCGACTTGCGCAATAAATGTTAGCAAAAATAAACTATGTGTGATTTTATGAAAATTTCAATTTCTTAAGTTTTTGTAATTTTCAAACGATTAATTATTGTTAAAGCATTATTTCACTTCCCAAGTAACTTTAGTATTTTATTTAAGAACCTGTCAATATGTATTGTGAAATTACGTATAGTGAATAAGTATCTAATTTTATGTTTGAAAACCTTTAAAAAAATATTTTTCAAAAATATAACATTTTATTCAATTTAATTTTTCGTAGCACCAGGCCCAGGCTACTCTTTGTGGTTGTTGAAGTACCTATTAAGTTAAAGTAGGTAACTGGATCGGCCATACTCTCCGAAGGGATCCCGATCACATCCCCAAGCAGGCTCTGGATTGGAACCCCCAAGGAAAACGCAAACACGGTCGCCCGAAGCAAACTTAGCGGCGCACTGTAGCAGACGAGGCGAAGAAGATCGGCAAGACTTAGCCAGGGGCGTTACTAGGGGCAAGACCATAAGTCAAGTAGGTAAGTCAACTGAAGCATTAAAAATTCAAATTTAATAGATTAGGCAAGAATTGTTCAAATATTTCTAGTCAATCGTGGCGGATTTGACCATGTAAGGGCTATTTCTCATCCCGATTTTTGCAGCTGCAGGATTACATTTAGTAGACGTACCTATTATAGATTCATACGAACATCCCGTTTGCAGTGTCGAATTTGAAATTCGAATTTCAAACACATTGGTGTGTTCACGCCAGTCCTGTTTTGAGAATCTTGCATTACGGGATCTCGCAATACTGGATGGCATTGGGAAAAGGCCCTTTCGCGCCGTTTTATCTAAACTAAGTAAGTACATGCACAGATAATATAATACTAGTGTACAGGTAAGTACACCTATCTGATTGACTTGCATGGATTTCGATTCTACGCAAAACTAGGTTTTCGCTACGTGAAGCGATTACGATATTAAATCTGTGACGAATGTTACTTTGTCTAGTTCGGTGAGCGCCTTAAGTGATGGTCATTACGTTACCTCATCATCATCATTTCAGCCATAGGACGTCCACTGCTAAACATAGGCCTTCCCCAATGCTTTCCATGTTGATCGATTGGTAGCGGCCTGCGTCTAGCGCTTCACTGCTACCGAGTGCTACTTACCTAGTATTATAATTATCTGTGCTGCTACCTTATGATGTCGTCGGTCCACCTTGCGGGTGGATGTAAACGTTAACAGCTTTTTTCTATGAATCTTTTTTTACCTAAGTAAGTAGGTACTTACCTTTTGTGAGCACCTGTGCTGTGCTATGAGTGACCAGTCTGTGGCACCATCGAACCCAATAAAATGGGTTAGCCAAGAAATGTAGATAGGTAGCATTGAGTTATAATGTACTACGTAGTACTAGAGAAGACATGTCAACTCTCAGATCATAGAAAGAGAATAGATATGAAGTCGCGCGTAACTACAACGAGAACCAGTGTCCCCACATTTCCCCCACCACAGCTCCCACACACACATTCAACTGTGTAAAAACAAAGCGACTGAGAGTCTACGACAACATGTGCAACCGGCTTAAAAGTGCTGTGATTGGCCAGAAGGCGTGCCTTATGGCCAATCAATGGCCGCGTGACGTGACGCACACTTTGAAAAAAGCAATTAGAGAGAAGAAAGATAAAATGGAGTCGATAAGATATCGATACTTTAAATCCTGGGGGCAAGGCTCGAAATTGGTTTAAAAAATGCTTGTATGAAAACCTTTTTATTATTATACGTTATCTTTTTGCTATTGAGCACAATGAAAATTTAACACAATTTAGCCGATTTGTTTATTTTCACAATCGTTTCACAATGTCTATGATGAGGCGACCGCAGGAACGTCACTATTCGTGCAATCCTATCAATGAAGTACCTACGACATTTTCTGGTGCAGGGGGTCTAGACAAAGTGCAAATTATAATCGCAAACCAGTCGATAAGTGGTCGAAAAGCCCATTTTTTGTATGGAGTTTTGACGGATTCGATTTTCGATTCGATCAAAAAGTGCGATTATAATCGCAAACCAGTCGATAAGTGGTCGAAAAGCCCATTTTTTGTATGGAGTTTTGACGGATTCGATTTTCGATTCGATCAAAAAGTGCGTTTTGTCTAGGGGGGCAGATTTTATCGCCATAAATTATGAAACTTGATAGTCATGGATTTGACTGACAGCTGTCCGTCAAATTCCCGCCCCGCACCCCGCACTGTACATATTTTGTTCGCGATGTCTGTTCTATACGTAGTAATATTACTTCAATGATAGGTAGGTAGGATAATACCTTTTATCTGTTTATGGATATCTATGTAGGTAGGTATAGCACTTAAAGGACTTTAACCTACTTTTGAAAACGTATTTTAATTCAAAATTGATTATAATATTCCCATAGACCTATAAATTTTTATTTTTATCGTACCTACTTACCTATCAGTCATCACTGCCTAAGATTAAGTAGGTATAATAATGCCTCGTATGCCTCAATGATATTTTATGCCTAAAATAAGTAACCAATAGGTAGGTACTTATAATAAATACACATACCGATCATGTTTTGGATCAATCATAGTTTTTGGTTTTAGTATTGTTCACTGGACAACAAAAATAATTATCTCGTCTGGCAATAACTCTTATCTAAAACTTTAACTCGTTACTTTAAAGTTCAATATCATTTACCAAAGTGACAGACATTGGAAGACATTCGCGCAAGCGTAGAATAAAATGTATTATATTTGTTCCAAATTGCGTACAAGAAAAAGAGACAAAAAGATCCCTTTTATAAGGCGAACTGACAAAGCGTACGTTTCACCAAATCAAAGTTAGGAGCACTTCAGACTTTCCAAATTGGCCGTTTAATACGATCGAATAGTGGTGAGGAACGGACACCATCTTCCAATTGTATATCTTATAGCGTTCAGCCAAGATCTAAAATCACTTGCGGTAATTTGACGGATCGTGTCGACCGCCATTTTCCATTATGGCGACGCGAGCAACGCGACATCTATATAGAGTTTTAGTGTCATCGCGAGCGTGCATCGCGCAAGTCGTGTACGTACGACTGATAACGTATTGTTTGCAACCATTGTATCATAAAAATGACATGGAAAATCGGTTTGTGCTGTCATAATTCTTATCTAATCGCTAGATTCTAAAAAGCCGGGTGTGTTTCGTTTGTTATAAATCCACCGTTCGTCCCAATAGACGTGTTTTAGATAGCAAAATAATGAATTTAACACCGCAGTGTTCCGTTTGAATTGTCGTGAACCAAGTGGGATCGATTTTTAGGAGTTATTAATGAAATTACAAAGGTGCTTGTGAGTGATATTGTTACATAAAGGAACCTGTTTACTGGGCGTATGGTTACGCAGCCTGCTTCAAGCTCTAAACGTTCCGCGCTTAGAATCGATATAAGTTGATAAAAAATGCATATTTTCCCCATGGTTTCATAAAGGATCGGGTCAATACCGTGCCGCCGGCTCAATGCTTTTGCTTCTGGTACAAATCAACATTTGTTTATGCTCTACCTAATTTGTTATGTTCGACTGTGACCGTCAGAGAGCAGAAATAACAGGAGTGGAACTGACAGGCAATCCCCTCTAGCAATGTAAGTAGACCAGTGGTTCACTCAGTTTATAAAAACTAGTTGCAGCGCCACCAATGACTTATTCCAAATGTCACTATTGAAGAGTAACGTGCTGCGATAAAAATGGTGAATTGCAGTGTTTTTAATTGTAAGAAGAGATCTGAAACATCAAATCTTGAAAAGGACAACATTACATTCCATCGGTAAATATTATTTTATTTATTTCACATTAATTAATACACTAAATTTGCAAAAAACTAAATTTCTAGAAGTGTTGCCACTGGAATGACTGGAAAGCAAAAATTCCTAATTGTGTAATATTTTAAGGATAGTGTACTTATAACAATATAATCGAAATTCTATGCAAACAATTTGATACTGCCAATAGGTGTTCTCTTTTATGATATTTGTTAGTATTAATACATTATTAATAATCACTGATAAATGTAAATTCATTTATTACTTTTACCTCGACTGTCGGGAATTATTCATAATAACCGGCGATTATTAATAATTTTCAATTTATCACATTTACCCTGACATAATAAACGTGTTAAGTAAGTTCCCGCTATTTTACAGATTTCCAAAAGATCCAACTACTCGCAATATCTGGATCTTATTATATACTATAATAATAAATAATATTTGTATTTTTCACCATTTTTCTCTATCTGTTCAAGTCATGTGTATAATGTAAGTACTTATTATAATAAAAATGTGTAGGAATATTTTTGTTAACCTTCGAAACAAGGCTTTTAATAGTTTCTTGCTCTGTAAATAAAAATTGAAATTAAGTTTTTCAGTTTTTCTCACTTTCCTTTTTTGCCAGTCTGGAAAATTTATTTATTTATTTATCTAATGAGGCATACCAACAACATTACATACAAAGTAATTATATGAAAATCTTACTTAAAGAAGTTTAGTGTGTATGAATGCCAATAACAGCTTTGGCCAATATATTAATTAATTAATGTAAATAAATCCTATATCCAAACGTTTGTAATAATACAATTAATTATGTTCGTGGAATTTGCCTGTTTCATTATTTTACATATTATGGTCAGTCAAAAGTGTGTACATTTTTATTTCAATACGCTGGCCACCCAGCGGAAATTTTAGTGTGGTACAGCACAATATGAAATATCGATATCGACATCGACTTGGTGATTGTATTGTTAGAAAGATTTACTTCTCTCCTGTAAATAATTTTACGTATAAACCGAACAAAAGAAAATTAAAACAGAGTTCCGTACCATCTTTGAAAGTTGAATTTCGACATTGAACTAACCTTCTATGTACCTTCACATACGCTAAAGTAATAAAGAATATTGAAAGAGCATGAATGCTCAAAATGCCACCTCCTGTTCATCCTCTAAGGCCCGGTTTACACTAAGGCGGAGTGGAGCAGAGAAGTTTTTTGAATCCAATCAGATTCCCTTATTTGCACATCTTCACTCCCCTCCGCTTCGATGGAAATGAATCAAGAGGAGAAGAATCAGGTGCACTTGATTTTCTATAGAATTTGACGCTGCCTTGCGGTGCGGAGAAGAGCGGAGCGGTGTGGAGTTGTGCGGAGCAGTGCGGTATTTCATAGATAGCAATAGACTGACAGCTAACAGCTACGCACAGCTCACGCATCTCCTCTCGTCTCAGCACCGCTGCGCTCTTCTCCGCTCCGCTTTGGTGGAAATAGCCTGCCAGCTTCGTCGTACATCTCTCGTCTCCGTACCGCTCTGCTTTGGTGGAAACCGGGCCTAAGGCTGATAGTCGATCCCCTTTGCCAAGGGAGTGTGGCCGTGGGTCATGTTTGGTATATAAGAATATTAGGTACCTATTTCATGGGTAGTGTAGGGTAATGGTGGTAGGGTTAATACTGGGACGTGTAAAAGTGCTTTTTAAGAGCCTATATAAATGACTTTTTAGTTTTTTTCATATAACTCTTAACTTTCACAATTCGTATTCGTGCTAGGGAAGAAATGCCAAACTTTTGCGTATTTTCCTTTAAATAGAGATCTGAAATGTTGAATCTCCCATAGGATAATAAATTAATTCATATCATTTTTTTAAACGAGCCATAGACTATGAACCATAGAGCAATGATTCTCATCGACAAAAATATCGATAGTGTCTCAGCGCCATCAGCTGTTACACAAATGTCATTACCTCGTCCCCCTCAGGAAATGGCGAAATTTTTTTGTATGGAAATAAACGCGCGCTGCTACTCCTGTTATTTCTGCTCTCTGGTGACCGTTTGTAATGAATTGCCTTGGTCTTGGAGTGATGGTGATTGTTACGTTTGTTCGTGCCCTACAATACCCAGCAATACGAAGAGGTTAGTAAACAAAACAAATTTATTAATTTAGTTAATACTTTAATGTTACTCTCATGATTGTAATTATACCTATTGTTGTCTCTACTGTATAGATGACAATTCTGTTGTTCTTTGACCACTTTTCATTCAAAAATAAAAGATTGTTCGATATTTAAAAATTCAAAAATTCTTTCCTCGACACTGTAAAACTGCCTGCCAGTCATTGCACAGGTATTTTACAATGCATATTATTGCCATGTTCACAAAATTAAATAAAGAAAATGAGGACAGGCTATATTTTGTAGTTTGAAGTTTCGTGAATGTATATCGTCACGAGATATGAATAATAAAATATGTGGTCTGCATAGAAAACACGATAAGCATTACAATAGACTAGACAACACGGTGCATCGCGTGAGTTTTTTTTATCATCGCGAAAAATCTTTAACATTACTGTTTTTGTGATGGCATTAAAAACACATAGAAACTTTTTTTTATGCTGCAACCAAATAAAAAAAGAAGATTTCTACATTTTCTACATTTATTTTGTTGCATTGTTTGCATGAAAATTAAACTATTATTTTAGTTAACATTTTTATAACTGTTAGCCTTCTTTGAATTTACAGTTACTTACCTTTTTTTAATTAATAAGCCACTGCAGTTGGCTGCCAATAACTGAATAATATCAACACCTAAGCTAGAAAAGCCTCTTTAACTCTTTAATTATTTATAATACCATACAAATCTCAATTTTTCTGTGCAATAAAGATTCTAAGGCGAATTTAATGTTGTGTGGCATTCTCTACCAGTTTACCTTCAGGCCTAAAAGATAATTTGGGTAGGTGGTGCAAAATAGTAACATAAAATAAACATACCTACTGCAAGTATGACATACCTTGATACCTATTCTTAATTTATTCTATGCTGACTGATAAACTGTATGTAATTTTTTATTTAAACATTTATTTCACAACATGGTATTGTACGCTAGTAATAAACCATCAAGCGTGTTAGTATTAAAACATAACTATATAATATTTGTTTAAAATTTTAATAATTACGATATCCAAGACTGTTAACTAACTTTACTACCATAATTGAACTGGTACCGTTGGTAATTTAGAATAAATACTTAACTATCCCGAACCCGTGTGTCCAGCGTTTGTGTAGGCCAAATCCTCCATTTGCCGCTGGTTAGAGAGAGTCCTGCTCCTGCAGTGGATACTAAATAGCCCTAGTAAGAATAATAAATATTGGGAACTAAAGTCATATTGTTAGGTATTTTAAACTTATTATAATTGTAAGCCTGAGTTGCATGTCCTTAACTGTAACCGTAATAACTTTAACAGTAACCGGAGTTTTTGTATGGTGTTGACAAGACTTTGGGCATTTCTTTATGTAAGTAACTACATAATAATAATACAGGCATTGAGGTATAAAATAAACGAATAATTAATCTTTATTGTAATATACATTTTATAATAAAAGTTGCGAACTTCTTTATTTCTGACCACTGCAATTCTTTTCCTTAAATAATAAATAATTCATTAGATTTGTTTCATATTCGGGAATTTGACTTTATATCAATCACAAGTGGGTGATCCAAGTGGACTTCTTAACCATGGGTGATCAACATGGAATAGACCTAAATTTTTTAAAGGATGATATATACCACCTTGTATATTATAATTAGAAGCAAATATATTAGACAAATGGAAGGCAGACATGCTCGGGGCAGGGCACTGACGAGATGGTCGGACGCGGTGAGGAAGACGGTGGGCGGGAGTTTGCATCGTGCGGTCCACACAGCTTATGACCGCAGCCTGTGGAGGAACACTATCTGTGGTCGCGAACCTCATCAGTGAGGGACCGAGAAAGAAGAATATTATTAGAAGCATAGATTAATAAAGCCTAGTAGATAGATAGTAAGCGCACGAAAAGTGAAGCAACTTTTATAGTGGACCATTTCAAAATAAAAAACTTTTTTGTTTAAATTAAAGTTATTAAATAATTATTAAGTAACATTTTATTACGATAATGTGGATAAAAATCTCTTATTACTTTCGAAAAAAATCGCCATAACTAAACATTTTTAACAGCGTTTTGACAGTAATGGCATATAATATGCCTCACTTTTGACGAAGGCTTTATTAATGTAAGATTAGAAGATAGATAAGGACAGTCTACTTGCGTAGTTTTCTTCTTTGACGACCTGACTTCCTCGCGAGCAAGGCCCATTGTGCTAAATATACCCAAGACCAGTCTAGGGGCCGTATTTACAAACTTGAAACTCCAATCAAACTCAAGTTCGTTCAGCGAAATGACGTCCACTGCTGGACAAAGGCCTCTCCCAAGGATTTTCACAAAGACCGATCCTGCACTGCCCGCAGCGCCTCCCGTGACCCTCACCAGATCGTCGGTCCACCTAGTGGTCCCTGCGTCTTCCGGCCCGTGGTCGCCATTCGAGAACTTTTCTGCCCCAGCGGCCTTCAGATCTGCGAGCCCACCCATTACCACTATGTCGCGATGTCAGTCACTTTGGTTCTCCAAACTCAGTAATTTGTGCATACAAATACAAATCTATACTATCTATACTTCTATACTATCTATACTTCTATACTATCTATACTAATATTATAAATGCGAAAGTAACTCTGTCTGTCTGTCTGTCTCTCTGTCTCTCTTTCACGCCTAAACCACTGAACCGGTTTTGATGAAATTTGGCATAGTTTGAGTCTCGGGAAAGGACATATTTATCCCGGTTTTTGAAACAGGGACGCGCGCGATAAAGTTTTTCTGTGACAGGCTATATAAATTCCATGCGGACGAAGCCGCGGGCGGAAAGCTAGTTGTATATTCTTTAAAAAAAATGCGTTTTTTCATAAAGCTATTATAGGTACTTAATTTTTTGAAGATATTGAAGACTGACTCTTTTTCTTCGTTGTCCAGTGAGTTAAACCCCGTTTTACAATGCGGGCCTAGGAAACCTGGGTCAGAACTGGTTTGAACCGATATCAGGTTGCTCGTTGGATTTTGGTCTGTATTTCTATGGATTAAGAAGCCGTGACCGACCATTGTAACAACATAAAAGTGTTCCTTACATAATGTGTTCATTCAACAATTTTATGATGAGATCAAGGCGATCAAGCTGCTGTTCTTGCTATGTTATTTTTTCAAAGCAAAACTAAACGTTTGGCGGAAAATAGCGCTAGCAAAAGACGTCCTTTTAGCGGTAAGTGCTGTCACTGTCGAAAAAATGTATGGGAAATGTCACTTTTAAAGTTTAGCAAACGTGTCCTAGCCGAAAATATGCTAAAGTTTTCGGCGGTTGCAATGGCAATCGCCATTTTGATAGCAAATTTTAACAATGCTAATTATCGGCTGAACGCAGCCATGAAAAATAATTGTGTTTTTTTAACAAAATTACACAAAAAACGGTTATTGTAAAACCAGCTTGGTAATTTATTTAGTTTTATTATCTTTGGTAGCGGCACAATAGCGGCCTGCATCCAGCTCATTCTTAACATAAGTTTGCCTTAAAACGACAGCACATAAACGTAAACTGTGGCACATAAACGTAAAAATAAATTTTATTATCGAGCGATTTTTCTACAAAAATATGTACCTATATCTACCTAAATTCTACAATGCAGTTCCTGCACCCAAAAAAGTTTTTAATGCAACATCGCTCGCAGTCTAGCCTTGGTCATAAAAAAGTGAAAAAATCCGCGTTAGATTCCATTGATAATCCAGAAAAAAAGAATTCCCGCCACCGCGAAGAACGAGCCATTATGTTTTAAAATTTCAAAACACGAAAAGGAAAAAGTTCCAAAATCCCACCTGCCAGTTCCATTAGTGGACTGCGTTTCGTTACCCCAAATCCGTAGTACTAGGAATGCATTAGCGGCCGGATCTGATTACGTTGCATCCCCGGCGTATCCGAACGCGTTCTAAATTCGAAATTTCAATTTCAAAAGTTTCGAGTTCGCGCCAATAAGATTTTAGGTGAAGCATAAGGTGAGTATAGTAGACTAGATATTCATTTCTATGTAACGTTCGCGTTTTTGCGAATGTACGTCTGGTTCGTGACACGGTGGATGATACACTAGACATTTCTTATAATGGCTCGTGTTCTGTTACAAGTCTATACTCACCTTAAATATCCAAAGAAATATTGTTACACTAGCTTGCTTGCCCGCGTCTTCACGCGCGTCCCTGTTTTAATAACCTCGATAAATACTATCCTGTCCTTCTCCGGGACTCAAACTATCTCTATGCCAAATTTCATAAAAATCGGTTCTGTGGTTTAGGCGTAAAAGCGTGACAGACAGACGACAGTTACTTTCGCATTTATAATATTAGTAGGGATTATGAAAAAATGCGTGTTTTGCCAGTAAAAGTAAGAACTAATCCAATCTGAACCAATTTAGCTTAATTAACAAACAAAAGAATGTCATAATTAAAAATCAAGCTTTTTAATTCATTGTTTTTACAAAGAAGGCAACGCGCGGCTGAACGCAGTGTGAAATTAGAAGAAATTGTCGCTGAAGAAATTAATTACATTCTTTACTAGAGACTAATAAAGATAATTAAAAAGAAATTAGGATGTTAATATTACGTAGGAACTAAAGTGGGCAATCATACTAAAAACTTAGTGGTACAGTCAGCAACAAATAGTTTGTGACACCCAAAGTAGCCAGAAGTTCGCAACACGTCTTTGTTACATTGGAATAAGGTTGTGTTGACAACTCTTTGGCCACTTTGGGTGTCACGAACTATTTGTCGCTGACTGTACTGGACAAACAAAAAGTATTGGTTAATCCTACTTAAATTATAAATGTGAAAGTTTGAGGCTCAGTTGCCAGAAAAAAATATATTTAAAAATGAGGGTTTTCGCGAATGAAAAATCCGCCAGATGGCAATACGTAGACGCGAGGTCCAAATGCTGCATGATTGGTTATTTTTGACATGACATTGACAGATATGTCAAAATCCACCAATCACGCAGCAGTCGGACCCCA